AAAAAAAAAAGAAGATGTTTAACGAAAGTGGTTTGGCACAGAGGAAATGATTTGGAATCCAATTTTTCAATCCTCAGTCCATATGAGCCACATGGCTCGGTAAGGATTTACTATACAAAAATGTTTACACCTTACTTACAATGATCTGGTGATGTTTCCTTCCAATTCAATTCATTGTGTGATTCATGTGTACACACCGTTGTTTTGGCAATTGCGTCCGTAATACCCTCATTTGGATCAAAACTGAAGCAAAATAAAATTGTTAATCAAGAGATATTTTTATTATAGAAAGAGATGTGTATAAGAGACAGGATGCGTACCAATCACTAGTACTGGCGGTGAAAGTTGTCCATCATCCAGTTTTGAATCTCTACTGTTTGTGTATACTGAACGAATCCAGTAAAGAATGAACTGAAGATTTGTCATTCGATGTTGATACATTTCACCCTGAAATAAAAAATAAAAAAATAAAATATTGTACAAATTATTATATTTTAAGTGAAAACTTGCTAAGAGATAATAAATGTTTAAAAACGTAATGCTTACAGTAGTCGGATCCTTGACTTTAGCTGGAGCGTCAAGGTCATCTTCTAGGTTAAATACCACACAAACAACGGCAAAACATACCATGAAAATCTACAAGATAATCTTCCACAATTAATTAAAACTGAATGAAATACATAGAATATATTTTAAGTTTGATTTAAATGCTACTTCATTTATTAATTAATAAAATGACTTTACTCGTTGTATCACATGATATATCGGTTGGCCTCCAAAGTCCCAGATGTTCATAATAAATTCATTGCCAGATGGTTGCCAATCACTTGTTTCATCTCTTTTGAACTTGAGTAGGGGTACTTTTATTCTCTCCTGGACTTCATCGACGATGTTTTCAGGAACCTTTTTCATCGACTGTGTCCTCTTCTTAGTTTTTACATCCGGTTCTATATTTGGGTTTTTGGCGTCAAAATTTGATGATGATTGCCCTTATAGTAGAGTTAAAAGAAAATTTAAACTTGTAATTAAATTAAAAGAAAAACTTTAAAAATGTAAGTGAAAAACAAAGTATAATAATCATGATTTGTTTTGCATAGACTGCATAAATTTTGCTGGTGGTTGATATCAGATTTATTATAGTGAAGTGTCTATGAGTCAGCAATACATTTCGATCTCTCCCTTGTCCGAAGTTATGATCTACCCTTCTGAATGAGGTGTTCGTCCAGGTTGATTTTATCTTTGTTTTTTTGTTGTTTTATTTTTTTGTTTTGTCTTGCTTTTTTTTCTGGCCGACAATGTACATTTAACATTTCTATTTCGTAATCAATCTTTCAATGCCACCATACCTATAATGGTTGTGAATTAGTTTTAAATGTGCCTCGGTTATAAGGCTATGTAAAGGGCCTCTGAAATATTGAATACAAAAAGGTGTATTAATCAATTACTTAGGAAAATAGCAAACAAGAATGTCTTACCTGGACTGTATTTCGTCTCTGCTTTAGTTGGTGATAACACGTTCTTGAAATAAATGTAAACAAAAATTACTGTATACTTCAGATATATTTTATTAATTAGTTATTACACCATGAAACATTCATCATATTATCTTAACCATTAAATATCACAAAATTGACTGTGTAAATCTTACTTCTACATTCTTCTCTGTTTCTTTTTCTAATATTTTCTTCGCTATGGAATCTGCCATTATCGCATTAAATATATCACTGACACCAGCTGTTGAGGACAAATAAATCATTTATTAGAATAATATATAATTTACTATATGATTTGATTTCATTTTGTTAGTTCAGTAATTGAATTTAGACTGATGTCTTGGTGTATTGTGATCTGCATATTTATTGACAAATTTACAAAATTAAAACTGTGAAAGAATTGACTTATAAGAGAAGTAAAAAAAAAAGAAGATGTTTAACGAAAGTGGTTTGGCACAGAGGAAATGATTTGGAATCCAATTTTTCAATCCTCAGTCCATATGAGCCACATGGCTCGGTAAGGATTTACTATACAAAAATGTTTACACCTTACTTACAATGATCTGGTGATGTTTCCTTCCAATTCAATTCATTGTGTGATTCATGTGTACACACCGTTGTTTTGGCAATTGCGTCCGTAATACCCTCATTTGGATCAAAACTGAAGCAAAATAAAATTGTTAATCAAGAGATATTTTTATTATAGAAAGCATAATATAAATGAATAATGTACAGAACCAGGGGGAAGATTTAGGGGGTGGGGGTGTGGCCCGGCCCGAAAACCCCCCCCCCCCAACACTTGTTTGGAAAGTCAAAGAAAAAAAAGAAGAAAAGAAAGAAGAAGAAAAAAATCGATTGACCAAAAGGCCTCAGAGGTTATTTTCGGGCATCTAGAGCACAGAAATTTTGCTTGGGGATGCCCCCAGATCCCCTAAAATATTGTTATCTCAATTGGCCCAACTTTCGGTTTTCTTCCAGCCTCCCACACCCCCACCTTTTGGACATCTCTGGATCCGCCCCTGAGAACGTACATATATAAATAAATGTGTAGAAACGTACTTAAAATAATGGATTGAGATTATTGAAGTTTTCATACATTCATTAAGTTGTTGATTATGGAAAGAAATACAAAAATTATTTGAATTACCGGTTTCTTAAAAAAGCATTATTGAAGGCTTTAGCTATTTCGACTGATTAACTAATGTAGTGAAAGGATTGATATTATTGAAGTGGAAGATTGATATTATTGAAGGGAGTGAAGTTGAATACCTCAGTGGTTAAGATACTTGCCTTCTGATCCCAGGGTCCTGGGTTCAATTCCTGTCACAGCAGGAATTTTTCTCACAACTAAAACAACTCCGCTCCCTATGCCTCATAAAGAGACTTAGTTTATAAAGAATCATGCTCATTCTGTAAGTGACATGTGTACTTGCTGTTAGATGTGAAGGAAATAAAAAAAAAAAAGCAAGCAAATTTTGAATATATGAGCTTACGTATTCCTTAAAAATGACTTGATTGTAGATGTCTTCCCGACTTTCTCGAGGCCCATGAAAACTGTCCGTCCTTGATTAACCTCTGTTTCTCCCTCAGCTAGAGCATCATTAAAAGCTTCCACTGCTTCGGTCCCACGCGCCAAGAATTCCGTTGGAACCATCCGCGCTTTAAGCATAAATATATTTCTGAATTACACATTGAATTCCTTCCTTAAATATAATTATTGAGGCCAGCCGCCTGCAATGCTGTCATTTACTGAAGAGGTCTTTAACCTATCCATTCATACAAATTTTTCATTGCTTCAATTGTGATTTTGCATTTCTTTCCTCATAGACCGAAAGGTCCACTGATTAATCTCAGATAAGAAAGTATAATACATACTCCAAGTATTGAAATACACGCCATTGTGTTGGGAATCAATATTTCGACATTAATTATGTCATCATCAGGAATTTCCTCATAGAATTATTTGTATCAATGGTGCAACATTTACTTCATCAAACCCAGTCTTGTGATTATGTAACCATAATAAAAGCAAATTTGCAAACAAAAGTATAGAATTAGAACTTATTTATTCCAAAAGAGGGGCAATAAATTACGATGGTGATAACAGACGGAGAAAATATAGGCCTAGAGTAGTCGTTTTATTTTTATCATTGAATAAATGTTTTACAGTATTATATTCAATGATAGCGCTATCATTTTGTCTGAATCGAGCATAAAACAAATGCTGTAAAATATTACAAAGCGCCACCAATAGCCGCCTGGATTGCTAATCAAAATACTGTAATTTAATACAGCTAATATTGGGAATCTTATTTACTGTGTTTAAATGTAAGCACAGTACATAATATACACTGTACAATACACATAAATACGATTGCAAAAATAGATATGCACATATAAACAAATGAATGGACATTTAACTGGTGTGAAGAATTTCATACTAAATATACAAAATGCGAATATACTAATATTAATTTTAAAATGATTGATATTTGATATGAAACAAAACAAATAAATTAAATATGAACTTATGTTCGTATGAACAGCTCACTTTGTAGGAGATGCATGAGCATTTCTTTTTGTTTTTCTTTGTTGGTAGAATCATACTTTTCACATTTGTTGTTCACATACACTTCAGCTGGAGTTTGACCATCCTGCAAAGACAATCACATATCATACCTCATGAATTAAATATAATCAAGCAAAACAATCACATTTTAAAGCACTTCAACAAATGTTACCCCAAAAAAATTCAAAACAATTGAATTGAAATTTACATATCAATTTAATTATTCTTTAATTCTACAATTGCATCTTGTAAATATTCATGTTAACAATAAAACATTGACAAAAATCAATAGTTGCTACAATGATCATGAATAAACATTTCGCCTACTGTAGTGTATAGGCCTAAATCCTTATAGTATTAGTCGCCATACAATATCGACATTATAGTTGCCATCATTAATTTCAGTATGCTCCTTATCACCATTATTTAATTATAAACATCTTCATCATCACCATAATCATCATCATCTTCATTGTCATCATTTTTATCTACCTTACCTTGTTTTTTAATTTGGCATTCGCTCCAGCCTTTATCAAGTAATTACTTATGTCTATGTGATCTCCATACGAATGGTTAAATTTTAACAACTTGTGAAGTGGAGTATTGCCGTCCTGTAACATAATTGAAAACAGTGTTAATCAATGAAAGCTCATAACCGTACAAATGATAGCATAATGTGAATAAACAACATATTCATTGTTACCAATCCAGACACAGTCAATACCTCTGTAAACAAATGAAATAATGCAATCAATAACATTACAGTTAAAATTTAGGTAAATATAATTAACTTTCACTTTGTATGAAATACATTTTCATCGATAATTTTCTTCCATAACAATATTTTAAAACTACTATTATGATGCAATCAATAACATTACAGTTAAAATTTGGTAATTATAACCCAACTTTCACTTTGTATAAAATACATTTTCATGACAATTTTCTTCCATAACAATATTTTAAAACTACTATTATTCTATACTAAATAATGTCCTTCATGATGATTATATTCTCTATTAGCATATATACCTGTGATCCACACGGTTTTGAATGAGGAGGAGGCAATGTGAACGTTATGGTTAGCATGTTACTATTTTTCTAAAGGACGTCTTTGTAGATGATGTCTCTGTAGATGAGTGTCTTTTCTGGATAGTCCTTGTGAGGAATTATTTTCAAGTTTTATGATGGGCGGATCCAGAATTTTACTAACAGGAAGGGGCAAGGTGGCGGCACAACAATTTTATATAACATAAATATGCCAAAAATTTAGCCACAAAAACGAGGACGTGTGTGCCCAACTTAATGAACCCACCCTTCTTGACCTGCCTACCCTTCTTGACCTGCCTCCCCTCCCCTTTACTGGATCCGCCTTTGTTGATCTGACATAGTTTCAAAAATTTAGTGGCAAAACAGGGAGGCACATGTCCAATCCTCACCTCCCTCCCACAATGGATCCGCCCATGCTGATCTTTTCCCCCGTAACGTATGCTCACCACCTCCCCCACCCCCCTTAGTTAGGTGGAGCTGGCTTGACCCTAAATTGAAACTTTAATATCGCTATGACTATGTTGATGTCTTGCACTAGGCCTATGTCATTGTAGAAGAATTTAGCCATATATTGACGCGATCGAAATCAACCTGGATTCGATACAGAGGAGCCTACGGACGCTCTAGTACTGTCTAGGTATGTTAGATAGGCTAGGCCTGTTCTCTGTACGGTGTAGGCCTAGGGTTAGTCTAGTAGGCCTAGCCTAAACTACTAGGCTTCAAGGCTTGGCCTAGCTTACTTAGCCTAGGCTTGGCCTAGCTTTTTATCATGAATAATTGTGCCCAGGGGTACATTTATGTTTACCTGATCGATTTCTAAAACATGCCATTTATTGCTGATGTGTTTGAGGCATATTTATGCCATTTAAGACTACAGTTTCAGTATACAATACGCCTTTTCCACGAATTGGTAGGCATCTTGATGAAGTGATGACAAACAACTCATGATGGCCCAATTCTTTGACCCAACTCAGTTTATCCGTAACCAACAGAAATAAGATTAGCTTCGATTTGAGGCTGAATTCTTGTCCTTAAATTATCTAAAAATTTGTATAACTCCATAACGGAGGGTCATATCACATTAATTATTTCTGGAATAGAAAATGGTCTCAAAAGACTATTCTACAATGAAAAAAGAAAAGCCCATGTAAAGTAGTGTACTATTAAAATAGACCTATGCATTTACAGTCTGAGTAACTAATTCCTCCATGGTAGAGTAGGCCCTACTCTCGCTAGCATTGTTTTATTTACCATGAGAGTTTCCTGTGTTAAAAACATAATTTAGGCTACTATCACTATACTTATTTATAAAAACATAACGTTTAAATCAAAAACGGCTCAAAAAATTCCAGGTAAAGCTGATTTTGAGTACTGTAAAAAACAAGCTTTTTTTTCATTCATTCGCTTGGCTATAGTGATCACAACATGGACGCCCTATGTTTTGTACACGTTATAAACAGCATCTCCTAAAAAAATATTTTTAGTTTGGTATTGTGTAGTTTCTATGAAATATTTAATTGCAATGTTAATAACTACACTCAGTGCTCAATACAGATCAAAACAAGATCGAACACGACTGTGAATGTTGTAAGTAAAGCTGAGTTTTTCAGCAATTTTAAACCAGTTTTTGGTGATCGATTCAAAATCATTTGTTGATTGCTTGGCTATCCATCACACAACGGTTGAAACCATACATAAGCAATTGAACCGTGATAAAAGTGATAAATACAGTATTTTACAGTCATGATTATATTTAGAGATAAATATTTAATTATAATTTTATGAATAATGTATTTATTTAATAATGACGATTTGTCATTCAGTGTTTTTAATAAATAATGTGTTGTTCCCTATACGTACCCAGTAGTTTTGCAAATTCACATTGCGTGCAGAAATCCTGAGTGCTGCTCTCAGTTGCTCAGCGTAGCCGAGTGCCGCAATGCGATGTAGAATACAATCACGATCGGCCTACACAATGAACAAGGAATATGAAAACAGAGAATATAAAACACATCATCTCTTTAAAAAAATATATTATACTTTTTATGGATTTTTCCTATAAAATTGTACAATTATTCAGTGTAAATTGACTACTCGAACAAATACGTGACACAAATGTGAATTTTCTATGTAAAGCTCGTTTTCAGTAATATTAACAGGCTTTTTTGCATTCATTTGGCTTGGCTATATCATTATCACACAACATGGACGCCCTATGTTTTGTACAAGTTAATCACCATCTAAAAAATATTTTTTAGCTTATGTAGTTTTTTTTTATTTCTTATTGAAATTTTAATTACTATATTCAGTGCTCAATACTGATCAAAACAAGATCAAACATGACTATGATTGTTTTATGTAAAACTAATTTTTCAGTAATTTTCAACACCTTTATTTTGGTTGTGAGCTGCTTCTCTTCCTCATTCAAGGCGCAATGACTTGATATTTGCACGACAACCGTGTGGGAAATTTCAACAATAAACAATCAACATTGATCGTAAAATACAATAAAATATCTTATTTTTACTGTGGATGATGATTAAGATATGTTTTAAATGTAATAAGTTGTTGTTGTTAGGTAGGAATTGATGTAGAGTACTGGTTTGTATGGTATGTTGTGTATAGATGCTGTGTTGTTGTATTTTGTGTGTTGATGTCGTAATTGTAATGATACATAATTCTACTCACCCTGTCGTCCACGTAGTCCACAGCTTCTGCCGTCGCTGATTTTAAACTCTCACTGATGACATCACGTGGTGCGCTGGAGAACACAATCAGATATAATAACGGGAGGACGCCGGCCTACGAAATCAACAAAATACGATGATAACAAAACACATTCAACTATCACACATACACAAAATATCACATATAAACACAACTTAATCACATCATAATTACATTAAATAATCACAATCAATTAAATATTCAAATATTATTACAAATTAACTAACTTTTTAAAGCTAATCGTTTAAAAATCTTAAATTTTATCAATTTTTTTATGAACGCTTTTCCCTATTCTTTTGCATTGAAAAATTTTATGTTAATTTAGGGTTTTGTTCAGATCATAATTTTTTAGGAATTTTGTATTTTTAACACTCCAGATATATTTCTTTTGTATAAAGGTTTGAAAAGAATACAGACAATGATATGTTTTATCCACTAGTTAAGATTTTTCTTCATCATTAGGCCTATACTGACTTCAGAGAAAATTGCCTATTCTTTATACACAACTCCTGTTTACCCATTTGTTCAGAATCATATTTTTTTTGAAAAGCTACATTTTTAAGATCATATTTGACTTTCTTTTAAGTAGAGTTTTAAAACTAATCCAAACACATAGATGTTTTAATGACTAATTAACCTAGCTTTAAACCTATACTACTTTAAAAAAAAATTGCCTATTCTTTATCATGGGATATGACTACCTCTGCTCGGAATCAAAATTTTTTTCGAAATATTATATTTTAAACCTCGTAACTACCTTTCTCTTGATTAGAGTTTTATAATAAATACAAAGACTTATATATTTTATTGCTTATTAAACGTTTTGCAAAGCATTATATAAGCTTCAGACAAATTCTGCCTATTCTTTATCATTAAATAGGCCTATACTTAGCCTACCTCTGTTCGGAATCATACTTTTTTTTCGAAATATTATATTTGAAACATCGTAACTGCCCTTCTCTTGATTAGAGTTTTATAACAAATACAAAGACTTATATATCATATTGACTAATTGGAAAAATTACAAAAACATCGTTATATAAACTTCAGAAAATATGTCTATTTTATCATTTGGATACAGGCCTACACATATTAACATATAATTTTGGCTGGAATAATAATTTTGTTTTGCATTTGATATTTTGTTTTTTTGAATTAAAAACTCAATTGTTTAACTTCAAGACGAATAGAATAGAATATTTCGTTATCAATTACATGGTACCGACGACAATGTAACGGAGTTACTATACAGTATGTAAGTACTATAAACAGTTGTCACTGCGTCAAAAAATCGAAATTAACGAGGGCGCTAGACTAGTATTTTTGGTTATCAGAGAGATGATCGTCGCTCGTCTGAATTTGTTACTGTGCAACCAAAATAATAGCTAGTAATTTATGTTACTAGTCCCACGACCACTAATGATTACAGAGCCAAACCAAGGCAATATATATACACAGCCCAGGTGTGAATGAAAATAGTGGAATACAAGCTATGTGGCTCGGTTCCAGTAGATGCAGAGAATATTTTGTCATTCTTAACGCGTCCTACGAAATTCTTACGAGACAGCACTAGTCTTTAGATCGGAGATCTAAAGATGCAATCTCTACCTGCATCAGTGGCGGCCCGCTGGTCGTGGGACTAGTTTGGGCCCTACCTAAGCTGGTCGAACGTTTCGTTTGGGTCTATACCCTAGCTGCACTGATGAGGCCTGGAAGGCCGAAACTGATCCGTCTGCAGATATTGGGATTCCTTCCAGTGGATGCTTAGTTTATTTTGTCATTCTGATCGGATTTTTTCTACTGTTCCGTCTTAATTTAAATAGTTTTGCATTATGTGGCCGTTTGCTGTCTTATGGGTTTTTCCCATTTGCCTTTAAA